TGTGACGGCGTCGATTTTGGGTATATTGCAGCGTTGAACGTCGTCTTGCATCGAGACGTCTAGCGTCGGGACGGATATAAGGTAGGAAATACTTAGGTGGCGAGGTAGATAGGTCGTCGGGACGTAGAACGTGGCTTGAACGTCGATAGGAGGTAGGATAGGCGTCGGTTAGGAAGAGCGTCTATTTAGGAAAGGTTCTGAATACTAAATTTGAAATATAACTAAATTTGAGAAGCAACTGAATTAGACTGGATTTAAAATAATAATGAATATCGAGTTCCTCGGGATTAGGTATTTATACTCGTTTTAATGACGTAACTCCGGTGGGTATGAATTAGGGTTGATAAAAATGGAGTGGTCGATTTATTACGTGCCTTGATAAATTCGGTGTTAATATTCGAAACTGACTTAAGAAAAGCGCGTTAAATGTTTTAATAATTATTACTTTGTGAAAAGAAATGTTTTATGGAGGTTTTTGTGTCGAATTCTAATGATAATTTTTATCTTTTCTGGTTATCTAAAGATTTTTCTTAAAATGAAGAATTTTATTTTAATAAGAATGCAACTTTTCTTTAATAAATGACATTAATAAATTATGAAGGTACCTGGGTGAGGTAGGTTACAATACTTAGCCGACGAAATCTCGCCGGGTTTGCGCATGACGTATTGTGGTGTGGAATATGGCCCGACCGCATTGTTACGTTGGCAAGGCCGTATAAACTGGCAAGCAACGCTGATATTATTGGTCTCCTGCTCGCAATAATTTTAACTCTCTGTGGTTTTCACATACACTTGTAGTAAGGCGTATTGGAAAGCATTTGATAGCCGATTCTGTATATATATCCAAGCTCAGTAAATACCTACCTCTGCACCTTTGTACATTTTTTTTAATGAGTCTACTGTACATATCGTGGTCTATATCACGAGGTGATCTAACTCGAAAAATTGAAAATTGAGATAAGTCACATATTATGTAAAAAAGTATGTTCTACAATTTCACGAAATTGCGTATCTCAATTCATTACATTTATTAAAATAGCACGTATTTAACCGTGTGTATCTGATAATTTCACGAAGACATAACTTTATAAAAAAACTTTAAAACGCTCTCTTGTAAAGTTGTGAAAATCGAGTTACGTCACTTCGTGATATTGACGACGTATATCCAGACATTTTTATTGAGGCTATTCGCGCATGTGCCCGCTGCTGCCAAGTTCCAGGTGAACTTTCAAACAGAAACAAACATGATTTCATTGCTTGAGCTTATGCTGCCCTTAGTGTACCATATTTTAAACTAAATAAACATACATGAGTGGCTTTAGATGATAATACATTTGCCTTGTGGTATTTGGTCTTTTCTGTTTTCGTGGATCCTTGTCTTATTACAGACTGTAGACAAATTATGTCGCCAAAACTTTAATCAATGTAGGTGAGAAACAACCAGTTTGGTCTTACTTGGGTTGAATTTGTTCTTTAGTTGTAATAATTTTACTAATAGAAAAAAATGCTTTCCCAATGGATACGCAATCGTTCCTTTTTTAAAAAAACCTTGTTCTAGGATGTTTCCACAAATTAGACTCTTTTATTCTTTGTCTTTAAAGGGACTCTTTTAACCTTTTGTCTTTGTGAAATTAAAGAAGGTTAATCATTTTTAAGGTGCTTAGCAAAATATAGTCGACATATACCCAGACAGCACAAATAGGTTCATTGGACGTCCATTCGATATACAATTTTGGATGTCTGGACGTCCAAAGATGAGTTTTTCTGAACTTCCGACGTCCAATGGACGTCCAGTGAAGTATACATATGGTACACTTTTGATCATTCATAGGACGTCCAATCCTGGATTATATTTGGACGTTGAATACTGGATATTCAAAAAACGTCCATTCCTGGATTATGATCCATTGAGACCACATCCCCACTTTTTTTACACAACCGCAACTCACCATACACTATTTTATATTATTAATAATTTTGTTTATTATTTTCGCAACCCGCTATACACCATTTATTATTTTTTTTTATTTAAAATCACTTGACAAGAGCAGGGATCGAACTCACGTGACGCCCATTGTCGTTCTAGGCATTCAAGCGCTAGGCGACCTCGACCAAGGAGCTACTTGAAAATTTTTTGCTATATATAGATACGGTTTTAATAGAATAAGATTTAAAACTTCCGAACAATCGTAAAGGATATGCTTGATGGTCTCATCTTCTTGTTCGCACCCTCTGCAGAGTGCGGATTCTGACAGCCCCATCATATGGAGATGCTTTCGTATTTGGCTATGACCAGTCAGAATGCCTGTGACTAGGCGCAAATTCTGTCTAGTCATAGCCAAGTATTTGTTTGCTGCAGTGTTGTTAGGATAACTTAAGAACTCCCTGACAACTCTGCAGTTTCTTGTTTCACCCAATCTTTCCTTGAATTTCACAAGAGAATGTTCTTTGATTAGGTCTGTCACTACCGATTTTGTCAGGCCAATAGAAGGGTCAGGTCCAAAAAGTATTTGGTTGGCTGCTTTCTTGGCTAGTGAATCAGCAAGACGGTTACCTTTCGATGTGGCGTAACCTTTAATCCATCTTAAGGTGACAACATTGTTGATGGATACTTCGGCCAAAGCTTTGTGACATTCTAGTACTAACCCTGAATAAATTTATGGTCTGTTCAGGGTTAGTAGTGCTTGTCTGCTATCTGTATAGATAAGCATGTTCCTTCCCGTGATATTGTTTCTGGTTATTTCTTTTGCTACTATGAGAATCCCCGTTAGCTATGTTTGAACTAAACTGGCACTATTGCTCACAGCCCATTTTATGTTTAGGTTTAAGAATCTGGAGTATATTCCACATCCTGAGCCTTATTTTGTTTTAGAACTGTCGGTGTAGATATGAATCGTACCTGCCACTTCCGGCTCTTCTATTTGTTCTATTATAACTTTATATGGCTTATGAAAGATATATTTCGATGAGATGGAGTCCATGTTCGCTTGAAGCAGTGGGAGCGTATCGAGCGCCTCCTGCCAAAAGTGACGTCTCGCCTCACCAGATCCTACATCAGGTTCTATTCCGACCGTGCGGAGGTGTGTCATTGTCGTCAGAGCAACCTCCTTGATGTAAATATCAAGGGGGAGTGAGACTAAGAATGACTTCCATGGCTCTAGTCGGTGTTGTTTTCATGACTCCTGTTATATTGAGATATGCTGTTCTTTGAATTTGTTCTAGTTTACGGATAGCTGTTAATTTTTGGGTTTTCGGTACCCATACAACTGCACCGTATGTTAGAATAGGTCTTATGATAGCCGTGTAAGTCCATGCGCCGACTCTGGGGGAGAAACCCCAGGTGCGCCGCACGGTTCGGCGGCATTGTTCATAAGCAATGTATGCTCATATATGGGTATTATCTGATAGGCTAAATAAATAATGACCTAAGATGGACGTCCGCTGGACGTCAAAATAATACTAAACTTCAAATTAAGTCCAAAAACAGACGTCCTCTGGGCTTCGATATGCAGCTGTTAAATTAATGATCATAAACGGACGTACACTGGATGTCCAAATACGGATATAGACTTTCTGGCCTTCCAATGGATCTAAAGTGGACGTCCATTGGACTATGTGTGCTGTCTGGGTACTTTGTATCAGTAATATGCGATATTATACAGATTCAAAAATCTAAACGCGCACCCTCTTTTTTTTTTCAATGAATTGGACAAGGTATGATGGGATCACGCGCGAAACAAACAAATACCTACTGCTAAGTAGTACATTCCCTATTCTGTGGCCTCGCGCACGATACGTACGAATTCACCTCATTTTCACTTACGCTCGTCCCTAATAGATTTGGTTTATAAGGACCGCTTTTAAATTTCCCACTGTGTATTTATATAATTTACAAGATATAAAAGTATTTGCAAGAAAAAATCTATTTATTTGTTTTCGATACCTCCAAAAAATATTCGATGTTTTGACACAATGGCAATAGCGGTACGTATCTTATTTTTCATATTGAAATTGAACTAAATATATTATTTAGGGGATATACAAAACTAAACTTATCTAACTCATATAAAATTAATACTATAAAATGGTTAATAATTTAAAAAGATGAATAAAAATAATTAAATACCTACGTAAAAATTATGTTGTTTGATTCAAGCAATAAAGCGCGGCTTTGTATGAAGTTTAATCACTCTGTATACATAAAATAGAACATATCTATATCAAGATACAATTTATACCACAAGAATATTATTCTTGTGACTATACTATACCTATCTTAATATATGCACAATAAAACATTAAATTATGTAGCCTACCTAGGTATACCTACCCAGACAACACACCAAATCCCAGAGATATCCGCAGAATATCTTCTGTGGATATCCAATATATCCACAGGCCACAGGATATCAGAAATATTCCGTGGATCTAATATGGATATCCAAATGTCCGTCTATATCCAGGATATAGAAGATATCCTAATGGACATTCAGCAAAATATCTAATGGGTATCTTCCAGAAAATACAAGAAATCACAGAGATATCCACAGAATATATTTTGTGGATATTCAATATATCCAATATGGATATCCAACCAAATGTCCGTCTATATCCCAGGATATAGAAGATATTATTATTATTATTATTATTATTATTATTATTATTATTATTATTATTATTATTATTATTATTATTATTATTATTATTATTATTATTATTATTATTATTATTATTATTATTATTATTATTATTATTATTATTATTATTATTATTATTATTATTATTATTATTATTATTATTATTATTATTATTATTATTATTATTATTATTATTATTATTATTATTATTATTATTATTATTATTATTATTTATTATTATTATTATTAAATATTAAGTGTTTATTTATCTGAACCTAGATTAAAAATGAGAGGAGCGCTCATGATCCTGCCAGACTGTTTCTTTGCTTCTTTTTTTGGCACAATAAAATATGCAAACTGAAACATTCCGAGAACAGCAAAATTTTGTAGCTAATAGAGCACGTGGACACCAAAAAGTCTTAACTATTAAATTGATAAAAACGTTTAAAACAATAATTGAACTAAATAAAAAGTGGTGACAAATGGAGACAGTACCTTCTGTGCACGCATGTGCTAAGTAACCCTCAGAAACTAAAATTCCGGTCGAGCTGTTTCAAATCGAATTCCCCAACCGCGACCCGCGACCCATCAGTACGAATCCGAACGCGGTAGGAGTGAGTTTTGGTTTTTACTTTTTTTTCTTTTTTTTCTTTTCGTTTGTTTTTGTTTTACGTTTTGTAGTAGAATTTCGGTTTATTTATTAAGGTTATTTTGAAACGGTTGTGAACATTACACATGTTTATTTTATCGGATTTAGGTGAGTTTCAATCATTTTTTTTATCGTAGGTAGGTACCTACCTATTACAATCCCAATTATATTCGTTGTACATTGTCAATAAAGGGCGCACTGTTATCTGCTCAATCAGGTTGTTATTCTAATAAATGAATATAAGGGAAACATACCTATTTATCTAACAATATAGTCAGATGTAAACATTGCGTTGAGCGTTATTAAATAGTTATTCTACGAGCAAACGGCTATTTAAACAAATAACATATAATTAAAGTTAATGGTAGAATGCAATTTTGTAATAAGTAAATCTGACAACGTATATCCTCTATTTTTATTAATAGTAGGTACCTATATACCTCCGTGCTCTTTGAAAAGAGTTTTAACGTGCCCTAAAAAATGTGGGATTTGTTATGCCTTTTACGAAAATAGCTACACCATTCTATAAATACACTAAATTTAAATTCATGTGAGCATCCATACATGTAGGAAGTTACTTCATTCTAAAGTATTAAAAAGTAGACCATTCGTTTTTATTTACAATATCTAGTTCGTAGGTAATTCGATATGCCCACGCTTCACGTTTTTTACGTCAGTTTTCCAGACAGTATACAGACAGATGCTATCTCTCCGTCTCTTTTTAATAACATAGTGAATAGGGTCAGTGGGATGGGCCAAAGGGCCATAGTTCACTCACTTCACCCCTAGTTTCATTGCCTGACTAATGTCATATGTTTTCCAATTTTTTCAGTAATCTTGATTATAATGCAAATGTACCTATTGTGTCCCTTTTTCAACATGCAATGCTACAAAATAAAAAGTTCATGGTATGAAATAAATTAATACATACCTACTTAGGTTGTTAATTATTGGTTATATGTTTTATTTCTAGGTAAGTACGTATGCTATGCAGGGGTTGTAAAATCGTTACATTCATGATAAATGCATTTATCTACCTATATATCTAATTACAAATACAAGCAGGTGGTAACTCTTATTTAAATAATTGTAGGTATGTACGTATCTCAGTAGGTACCTTACTAATTCAAATTGTAATAGAAATAAATTATCTTAAAAACGATATTTTTACCTAGGGTAGGTATATAAGGATATTCTTACCTAAATTAGGTACATAAGGATATACTTATCCCTTAGTTATATTTTGATTATACCTTTAAAATGACAAAAATGTCTTATTTTACTACAATTGTCAAGATGCTATATTTTTGTTTGGAAAAGCTTAAGCGTTCGTCCATAGAAATCTACCGTACCTATATGCGGTTTTCTGGAAAAATATACTTCCTGGCAATAATTTTAATATTGAAAACTGTTTATGAAGTGTGCCTAGGGGTTGTAAAGACGTCTTAAGAAATGGAGTTGTTGTAAAGTACTCGAAAAATTACTTTAAATTTTGGTGTCTAAACCACATGTAAACATTGACTTTTACCTGTGAATTTTCTTTAAAACTAAACATATTTACATGTTTTCTTTCCTTTAAAACCTCTACAACTAACTCAGGAAAATAACGAAACACATCACACTTCAAAATATTGTTTAGTTTTATTGAAAGCTAGGTTTAAAATTATATAGATTTTTTTATGGAAACAATTATATTTTGTATGTGATATATCACGTGACATAGCGGCCGTTACAAAGATAAAAACATTTTTAAGTATTGGCGAAATTGTTTTCGAGATATGGCCAGACGCTGCCCTTAAGGACAATAGAAATACCTACCTCAAATTTTCAAGTTATGACTAGCTATTCATATTTAATAAAAATATACATAATTTTGATAATCTAAATTTATAAATGTATACTAATATACCTAATGGTATTAAAAATTAATTGAATATTGAGATAGATAGGTACTAGGTACCCACCTACTTCTATGTTTTTGGTAATTTTATTATGTTCCTAGTTATCATTTAATTTTCTGTTTCTAGACAAAAAATAATTGGTTATAAAGAAAGTGCCTTCCATTAAAATGTACAAAACTATACTGAGTGTTTCGAGTAAAGTCTTGTCATGGAAAATGCTACTTCTACTAACAAGAAATAGGTACATGAATTATTATAATGAATTGCTAATGTTGCATTGGAACTTAATTACATAGTTAAATGCACAACTAATCAAAATAATAAAGGTACACAAGCATTAAAGCAAATTTAACAGTCGATTAAGTATATTTTAGGAACAGACACGAATTGTTGCAACAACTCTGAAGGTTAAGTAATTTGTTTATAAAATATATCGATTCTATAAACAACAAAATATTTACAGTAAACTAAAAGAAATACAATAAAATAGATTGTGTTCATATATTAAAAAAAATATTCAAAATATGATTTAATTTTTCTAACTTTTTTCCTGATTGAGGAGACATGTAGTTTATTTTGACCCTACAGAAATGAATTAACGAATAATACATGTTAAGGGGGCTTGGTCCAGAGAGGGTAAGAGCTTTCCGAACATAACAAAACTTTTAAAGACGTATTGTTCCGTAAAAATTGGTTAAAATTACGTTGAAATGAACTGACTTACTGTAATTCAATTCATGAGGATACAAATCTTTTAACTGATTAATGTACAAAAAATCCTGCTAAGAATATAGCTACTTAATTGAAATATTAAAAATGGAATTCGGTAATAAAATCTAATTTTGAAACTCACTTTTAATTATGTGCCTACTATAAAAATGTGTTATTGCCCTGTGAAAATAATCGATAGCCTGCAAGATCGGCGTAACATACGCAAATAGATTCCAGGTTTTATGTAAATATTGAAGATTAAATATCCAACCACGCATTTCCATATCGTCGGTTTTCCTCCATATTTTTAAATGAATTCTTGAAATATAAATTATTAAAATACACCAATGTCATATTAAATAATAATATCAACAGGGGAGGGGTATTTAATTTAATATATAGAGTTGCGCAAAAGTCCGGAATAAAATTATTATCTGTTCAACCAGTAACTTAAAAAAAACGCTGAAACACGTGAATAAATTGTTTTCTTTAACCCCTTAGCTGCAACCCTACCCAACTTTTTTTCAAATGCAAAGGTATGTTGTGTATAGGGTCATTGAAAAGCTCCTGAAAAATAGAATCTCACCTTGCCCTTTTTTCTTTTACTTATGCAACATACCTTTGCATTTAAAAAATAAGTGGGGTAAGGTTACAGCTAAGGGGTTAAAGAAAAAATTCATTTTATTGGCAACAAATACGTCCAATGTAAAAAATTCACGTGTTTAAGCTTTTTTTTTTTAGTTACTGGTTGAACAAATAAGTAATCACTCCGTATTTTATATTTAATAAAATCATTCTGAAATGTGTTCTAGACATAGGCACTTACTAGGGTGTGATACACAAAAACAGTTTCTAAAGTAGACATTAGAAAAATGTACGTATGTCGGAGACAATTATTTTTCTTTTTAAGTGTCAATTTGGATTTAATTTAATTCGTTAGTCGCTGCTTCATAGGTTTTTTTTTCAGCTCCTTATTCCGAAATTTTTCTAAAAGGCTGTCCCAACCCAAACTGCAGGAATGGCCTGCCTTATATAATAATATCATTTCTTGCAGGCTTCCAGTATCTCACGGAGTCTGTATTCCTCGTTATTATATAATCACCCCAGCCTCATGATATTTTAATTTTGTTAAGTATAAGGGGTTAAAGAAAAGGTCCTTTATTTCTCACAAATCAATTTTAATTGGCGACAGGTTTCGAAGCTATTACTTCATCATCAGGCACACCTAAATGGAAGGTCAAGGAGTCAGTTGTAATAAAAACAATTATAAAAGTATGAACGGAATGAACGGAATTTTGTATGCATGTTTTTGTAGCGCGGTTTAACCGCAACACTTATTCACTGACCGAGAGTCAAAATAAACCAGTGCTTCTTAAGACCCCTAGAAATCCGGATATTATTTCTGTTGTTTATTGATGATTGACAGTTCTTTGCTTAATTATCTCTTAATATAAAGCGTGTAGTGTGAAAGGGTTACTCGCAGTGTTGATATGATAATCAGACTCACTTTATACAATTTCTTCGTCTTCAAAAGAAAAGAAAATTCGGCAGTCCATGACCGAGGTGATCCTGATAAATGCCAGCGCGTGTGAAGCTTCCTGAGAGGAAGCCCATCATGTTTTGCTAGTACAATAAAACTTACTGAACTTTATTTGGTATTTATTCGATGCATATCTACTTGTATTACAAATTTGATTTATTAAAAGATACATCTTTTTCGTATAATGATTTGCTAATTTACATTATTTTGTGATATTTTGCAATTATTGTAGTTTTTAGATGTACTGTATCAAAAATATTTCTAAATCCTCACGGAAATACTTGGAAACTTAGAAATAGACGATTTTCAGTTGTAAACTTTTCCAAATAATAATTGGAATTACATGCATACTCAAATATTTGGAAACATTCCAAAAAATTTAAATGTGACTTACATTTTGTTTAAGAGAAACTTATTGAAAAATATATAGTAAAAATCAACACTAACGTTTACTGTTTTGTTCTCTTAAATGCTATTTAAAAACACTTAGTCCTAAAAACGTTATTTAAAAACTCAAATAGTTTGTATTAAATTGTAGGATCATTTTTGTAAAATAAACTCAAGCGCTCATTCGAAAACAAACAAAATAGAAAATAGAAATATAGGATATATTATGTTTAATTCGATTCCCCTCACGATACTTACTCAAAATATGTCATATGGGAAAAATCTTCCATAATTGTTTGGAAGTATCTTTGTCCATTCTTTGTGATATGTTTTATTGGATCGATCATGTCAGTATGTAGGATTTAAAACATTCTACTTGGCAATGGCAATCTTGTTGATTTTTCCATCATACATGGACGGCATTTGTTTTTACTGTAAGTTAATTTTATTTTCCTTAAGCTGTTTCTATTGAGAAGACCCAAACTCTTCATACATCTTTGCATATATTAAAATGTATTTACAAATAATTTTTCTATATTTCTATTCTTGGTTATAAGCTGTACACTGTT